AGGCTGGATTTAATGAAAAACCGCGTTTCCTTTAGCATTTAAAGAAACCGGAAGTGCGCCCGATATCTATAGGAAGTTACCCTATCAGCGCTTGCGCAATTTACACTACCAGCGCACTTCGGTAAGATCAAACGAAGCCACACGGAGTTAGTTTTTCTCTTTCTATTGCTCTTATTTTTCTGTTTTTCTCTTATTTTGTCTTTGCTTGTACTTTTTTTACTTTGCATTTTGCGAAATACAAAGAGAAACATTTAAAATGTATGCGAATTTGCAAGTTTTTGAGTTGTTTTTATTTTCCGTGCTCAGGCTGACCTAAGTGACCGGAAGTGAAATTTCACCTTCCGGTTACTTACGTCAGCCTGAGCGCGGAAAATAATAACAACTCAACAACTTGCAAATTCGCTTACATTTTAGATGCTTTTCTTTGTGTTTCACAAAATAAAAAAAAGTAAAAAAGGTACAAGCAAAGACAAAATAAGAGAAAGACAGAAAAATAAGAGCAATAGAAAGAGAAAAACTAACTCCGTGTGGCTTTGTTTGATCTTACCGAAGTGCGCTGGTAGTGTAAATTGCGCAAGCGCTGATAGGGTAACTTCCAATAGATATCGGGCGCACTTCCGGTTTCTTTAAATGCTAAAGGAAGCGGTTTTTCATTAAATCCAGCCTTTTTGGACGAATTTCGATTAAAGCCAACGTTGAAAACATAGCTATGCATTCCTTTTTCGAAATCATACTTTTTTTCAGAAAATTAAGAATTTTTCAATATTTTGAAATGCTCTCAAAATCTGACCTTTTAGAAATGAAACAAAATCGATGCATGGCGTAAGGAGGATTTAAATTAAAATGCTAAATCGATGAAAAAAATCCCGATAAAGTAATTTACCTGGGAGCCTTTGCATTTTTTCTGTATTAGTCACATGACCATGGGCGTGGCCTGATGACGTCATCACAAGTGTTGCTGATCATTAAAGAGTTAAAACACATGAAATAACTCTGAACTAACCAGAAATGATGAGGTTATATGAGAATAAATTTTCCTCAGCAACGGCTCAAAAAGATCGGTTAATGGGCCCTTAAATCACCGTAAACATAACTGAAGGGTTTTTGTTAATTTCTTTTCGATAATGATGAAAAAGTGGCTTCTTCTTAAAAACATACCCATATCAAGGTTATAGTGCAAAAGCCATATCCTATTTATGACCAAAACGGCTGAAAAGCCATACCCTTTAGGGCGGCACATAACTACATAGCCCATATAANCCCCCGCCACCCAGCCCCTTGTCGTAATGATGGCACGAGCAAAGACAATTTACATTTTGATGACTAAAGTTAACAAGTTAGTTTCTCTTTTTTCGTAGCAGAATTTTCCAAAAGAAATAGGAAACATGTTCTCCGCGTGTTTCTATCGAGTTTTGGTATAAATCTACTAGCGTGCTATCACGAATAACTATCACGATTTCTATCAACTATCACGCATAGAAATCAAGATTTCTATCACGCATAGAAATCTATTTAGCAATTATTCGCCGAAGGCGAGGTGAACATTGGTGAATATTCACCAATCGTGGGTTCATGGATATAGTTTAAACAAGTTTCATTTCAACGTAATTAAGTATTTATGTAATCTTTTGTTTTGAAAACTAGATCTGAAGAACTTACCTTCATGCGATGGATGCCGATTCAATAATAAAACTTGGACTTCGATCAAGAACACTGCCTGGAGGCATTGAACTATTTTTGGTTGTATTCTTTGGGATATCATTTATTGTTTTTCTGCAAAGCACGTACAACAGAGATGCATTTACTTGTGAGCCCGAAACCAGTTCTATCACCAAACAACTCTGCTATGACGAGTACTCTTCTGCAATGAATCAGTGGTTTACGCCCCTGTATTTTGTTGTTTTGGCATACATCGTTTTATTTGTCCTCTCGATATCCTTCATGCTTTACGGTGCTTTCACTCTTCGGAAACTCAAACGCGATCGACAAAAGAAACCGGACTGTTTCAGGAGGGTCTACCTTCTACATGTAAGCTGTCGACTGATTTTTATTCTTGTCATGATTGGAATCTTCTGTAGCAACCAGACCCTTATTGTTCCTAAGACGTACAAGTGTTCAGTGGCAGCTGTCGCAACACCGACTCCATTCAACCAGACAGAAACTGATTTGCATTGCCATGATCAGCATTACAGGGAGAAATCAATTTGTAACATTGCCATCATTGCCATTGAAGTCTTTATTATGATTCTATGCATAATCGAATTTATTCAGGTGAAAAGATTAACTCCACCGCAAAAACTTCTAACCAAGTTGCTTGGAGAAATCTTCGAACCAGTTATAGGTGAGAATGAAAACTTCCAACGTTACATAATGTGCTATATAATAATGCTTTATTAAAGCGGTTTTTGGCTTGAGTATCGAAAAGTAATAGATAATTGGTTTTGCCTTACGCCGCTAGGAAGCAAAACCAAATCCACTGTGACTTGTTCGCACACGTTCTCCTGCGCTTCGCGTCAGCTATATGTATTGAATTCAAGTTTTGATTGGCTCACTGCAATATTGCCTGCGTCCTTTGTGATTGGTTAGAGTGATTACTTTGGTCTCGCCGATACTCAATTTAAAACTGTTCGAAGTGTACCCAGCGTAACTACCCGGGCGGTCCTTAATCAAACTTAACAGAACTCAACTGAACTTTGACCAAACGATTGGCTTTGATTGAGTTGGGCTATCGAACAAATTCGAACCATAAAAAAACGTTGTTTGAGAGGTCCATTGCGTCTGACTTCCAAACCCAATCGAATTCCATCGAACTCAGTCTAAATCAACACTCGAAATAGACAAGATTTTTTGAAATTAAGTCTCTCCCAGCAAACAAGAACCACACTTAACAAAGAATTAAGCGAAACCAACACTAGAACTTACAATAATGGAACAAACAGCGGCTGAGTGACATTTACTATCCGCGCCAAAATGCAAAAATTCCTCTCACTGGCTTTTTTAAAGCCCAGATTTAAGGTCACTAACAGTCGACCGACCTTTGACAGAAAATAATTATTTGTTGTTTAAACAGGTGTCGACAACCCGGCCGCAGAACTAGGAGGCATGCCAGAGGGTAAGACGAAAAACTTCCAAAGCTTCCAAAGTTTCTTAGCTTTTAGCTATATTTAGTGTTACCCTCACTAAATAAAGTGTTTACTTACTTACTTACATATGGCAGTCTGCGGCCTTTCCCCACATCAAGGAAGCACGGAAAGCCGCAAAACTCTTGAGCAAAAATTTATTTTTCAAATTGGCACTCTTAATCCTCACGGTATCAACGAACGCTTTTCTTTCAACTAATTTATTCTGTTGTTTTTCACGTTACCATGCACCAACCAATAGCGAAGCTCCATCTTTCTGTATATAATTATTAAACGACACACAACCCACAATTCCTCGATTCGCTCCCACATAGGGCTAACGCTCGAAACGTCAGCTTTCGAATCGCCTTACGGTGGCCAATTCACATTATTAACCCAGTTGATAAAACCAAATTATCTTGTTATACTCCCCACCGACGCAGCACCACAGTTTCTGACTGACTGACTGACTGACTGACTTTACTTGCCAGCCTGCCTGCCTGCCTGCCTGTTTGCCTGCTTACTTGCTTACTTAAGACATTCGATATTTCCATCACACCGATAAGCAAATCAAAGGCTCTTTGTCTTCGGCTGCCTTGTGTCACTTGTTTAGTGCGACGAAATACACTCTTAGCTTCCATATAGTATGAAGGTTTCTTGGTTAAAATTGTTTCCTAAAGGTTCAAACCGAAAACGAAACTCATCTGGATAAAACTGCGTGTTGCGATAAAAGCTTGACCGGAGAGAAAAAGGCGTACGTTTTCTTGAAACTCCACGCGCAATTTTTCCTGAGCGCGCGTTCCACGTGCTGTTTTTTGAATCACGCGTACTAACGTTAATATTTCAATTGATGAAGGCTCAAGCACCAGCCGAAACGTCTTGAGCGAAACATCAAAACAATAGTCAGTGTCAAACCATTATCTTACAATGTTTGCTCCTGACTACCGCTACTCTATTTTTACACAGAAAAAGGGAATACTAGGCGTAATCACGGTTTTCAACGCCATCTTCTCAGGTACGCAAAGCGATCAGAAATTACAGTGTTTGTATGGAGATCGGATGGCAAATAACTTTTTTTAAAGTGCCTATGAAGTTAAAGATAATTGCTGCTGATTTGAAAGGCTTTTCAACAGTAAAGAAGAATGGCGTTTTCCTTTTTGGAATATCTTTTTTCGTTTTAGAGATATGCACGTTTTTGTATTATAAGTGATGACGTCATAGCTGGTTCCACTAAAACAGTTCAACACTCAATCAAGAATATCTCTAGAAATAATAAAACAGTGTTCTCTAAACTTGGCACCAGAAATGTAAATCACAAAAAAAACAAAATGACACCCGTCGTGCCGTCACCATGACAACAGTTATGCCGCTGGTCCTGTTTTAATTAAAACTAACATTACCAGATTTTATCTTAAACAAG